CGATGCCTGCTGGGGGGTCCAGCACAGTGTCTTCATACGCGGATTCAGATTCGACCTCACCATCCCTGTGGGGTGCGATTTGCGAAATTTTCGCCATCTTCGAAGCCTGCTGGGGGTTCAGTGTAGTGACGTCATCCGCAGATTCAGATCAGATGTCGCCTGTGGGGCTGCGATCTGCGAAGCTGTTGCCATTTTTGAAGGTCGCCTTCTGCTGGTCCGCTGGCTCTTCGGCCATCTATCTGCCGTCAGTTGTCACCCTTCTCCCAGACGAGCGTGGGGCCTGAGTGTCTCCACGAAGCCCTTGTCGATCGATCGGTGTCCTGCGAATCGCGCAGCTCGCGAGCCTCCCAAGTTACGTTCGCAGAACATCTACCCCCTTGCCACGTTATCAACCCTTATGAATTCTGCCCAGCTATTCTGGTCACGCGTTGCGCAAGGATGATGTGCATCGTCAGGAGGCTCCCTGACTCTCTGATGATGGGCTCTCGTTTTGAATTGGGCACTGTGGTCGCGTCCCTCCCTCCTCCCGCCCGCTTCCCTCCCTCTCTCCCTCTCTCTCTCTCTCTCTTCATCTCTCTCTTTCTCTCATCCATTGGGGTCTGTGATTTGCGAAACTGTCGCCACTTTCGAGGGCTTTGGCGGGGGGGGGGGGGGCAGCGCAGTGACGCCATGCGAGGACTCAGGTTGGACCTCGCCGTCCCTGGGGGCTGCGACCGTCGAAATTGTCGCCACTTTCGAGGGCTGCTGGGGGGGCCGGCACAGTGTCGCCATACCCCTATTCAGATTAGACCTCGCCATCCCTTGGGGGTTGCGATCTGCGAAATTGTCGTCACTTTCGAGGGCGGCTGGGGTGGCGCGGCACAGTGACGCCATGCGCGGACTCAGATTGAACCTCGCCATCCCAGGGGGGTTGCGATGTGCGAAGCTGTCGCCACTTTCGAGGGCTGTTTGTGGGGCCAGCACAGCGTTGCCACAGGCGGATTCAGATTAGACCTCGCTATCACTGGTGGGCTGCGACCTGCGAACATGTCGCCACTTTCGAGGGCTTCTGGGGGGGCCAGCACAGCGTCGCCATACGCGGACTCAGATTTGACCTCGCCGTCCCAGGGGGGCTGCGATCTGCGAAGCTGTCGCCGCTTTCGAGGGCTGCTGAGGGGGGGGGGCAGCACAGCGACGCCACGCGCGGACTCCGATTCGACCTCGGCGTCCCTGGGGGGCTGCTGTCGCCCAAACTGTTGCAACCTTCGAGGGCTGCTGGGGGGGGGGGACCAGCATAGTGGCGCCATACGCGGATTCAGGTTAGATCTGCGAAGTTGTCGCCACTTTTGAGGGCTGCTGGGGGGTCCAGCACGGTGACGTCCTACGCAGGCTCAGATTGGACGTCACCATCTTTGTGGGGCTGCGATCTGCGAAGCCGGCGCCACTTTTCAGGCCTGCTTGGGGGTCCCGCACAGTGACTTCATACGCAGACTCAGGTTCGACCTCACTATCCCTGTGGGGCTTCGATCTGCGAAGCGGTCGTCACGTTCGAAGGCTGCTGGGGATCCAGTATAGTGACGTCATCCGCAGATTCAGATTAGACCTCGCCATCGCTTTGGGGCTGTGATCTGCGAAACTGTCGCCACTTTCGAAGGTCGCCTTCTGCTGCCCGCTGAATTTTCAGCTCTCCATCTGCCGTCTCCCCCTAATTGTCGCCCTTTCCCCCGTCGATCTTGAGGCCTGAACGCCTCCATTAAGCCCTTGTCTATCGATCGGTGTTGCCAGGGGGTCCAGCATAGTGGCGTCCTACGTAGATTCAGAGTAGATGCCACCATCTTTGTGCGTTTGTGATCTGCGAAGCCCTCGCCACTATCGATGCCTGCTGGGGGTTCCAGCACAGTGTCTCCATACGCGGATTCAGATTCGACCTCACCATCCTTGTGGTGGTGAGATCTGCGAAATTGTCGCCATCTTCGAAGCCTGCTGGGGGGTCCAGTGTAGTGACGTCATCCGCAGATTCAGATCAGATGTCGCCTGTGGGGCTGCGATCTGCGAAACTGTCGCCATTTTCGAAGGTCGCCTTCTGCTGGTCCGCTGGCTCTTCGGCTATCTATCTGCCGTCTCCCCCTAGTTGTCACCCTTCTCCCAGACGAGCGTGGGGCCTGAGTGCCTCCATTAAGCCCTTGTCTATCGATCGGTGTCCTGCGAATCTCGCAGCTTGCGAGCCTCCCAAGTTACGTTCGCAGAACATCTACCTCCTTGCCACGCTATCAACCCCTATGAAGTCTGCCCAGCTATTCTGGCCACGCGTTGCGCAAGGGTTGTGCACGTCCTCAGGAAAATTCCCTACCCTCCGATGATGGGTTCTCATTTTGAATAGGGCACTGTGGTCGCGTCCCTCCTTCCTCCCGCCCGCCTTGCGAATATGTCACCACTTTCGAGGGCTGTTGGGGGGGGGGAGGGGCAGCGCAGTGATGCCATGCGCGGACTCCGATTCGACCTATCCGTCCCTGGGGGGCTGCGATCTGCGAACCAATCGCCACTTTCGAGGTCTGCTGGGGGGACCAGCGCAGCGACGCCATGCGCGGACTCAGATTCGACCTGCCATCCCTTGGGGGCTGCGATCTGCGACCTTGTCGCGACTTTCGAGGGCTGCTGGGGGGGCCAGCGCAGCGACGCCATACGCAGACTCAGATTTGGCTTTGTCATTCCTGGGGGGGTTGCGATCTGCGAAACTGCTCCAATTTTTGAGGGCTGCTGGGGGGGCGCGGCACAGTGACGCCATGCGCGGACTCAGATTAAGCCTCGCCATCCCTGGGGGGCTGCGATCTGCGAAGCTGTCGCCACTTTCGAGGGTTGCTGGGGGTCCAGCGCAGCTCCGCCATGTGCGGATTCAGATTAGGCCTAGCCATCCCTGGGGGGTTGCGATCTGCGAGACTGTCGCTACTTTCAAAGGTTACCGGGGGGGGAGGGGGGGGGCAGCACAGCGTCGCCATACGCGGATTCAGATTAGACCTCGCCATCCCTGGGGGGCTGCGATCTGCGAAGTGTCGCTACTTTCGAGGGCTGCTGGGGGTCCAACAGGGTGGTCCAACAAAGTGTCGCAAAACGCGAATCAGATTAGACCTCGCAATCCTTGGGGGGCTGTGATCTGTGTCACTGTCGCCCCTTTCGAGGGCTGCTGGGGGTTAGCACAGTGACGCCATACGCGGACTCAGACTCGATCTCGCCATCCCTGGAGGGCCGCGTCCGTCGAAATTGTCGCCACTTTCGAGGGCTGCTGGGGGCATGCCCAGAGTCGGTGAACATGTGACTTCAGCCACCAGGCTCAACGTCATCAGCCTGACAACGCCACGCAGAACGTCGCGGCCGTTGTGGTTGCACGCGACTCCCACCTCTTGGGCAAGGACAGGTGGCCGAACGATTTCAACCGTGCGGCTGCCAGCAGTGCGGACCCCGCCGCGCCTGTAACGGATCGACCAGACATGTTCGTGTCTACATTTGGCACAGCATCTCCTCCTGTCCTCCCGAACGCGCTGTGCAGCATGAGTGCACGTGTATTTTGTTAGCCACCGCCACATGCCGATGGACTTGAGCATGTCTGAGCCCGATTGACGTGTACAGGGCACTTGGCGACTGAGTTACGACGAGCACCACGAGGGTGACCTTGACCACGCGCTCACCGCAGACCGCATTCGACACGATCACCACCGAGAGACCGTTTCCTACCATTAATGGCCGGCCAGCCTCTCCGACTGTACGGGCCTTTTTGCCAGGCTGTAGATGGGTGCCAAATGGGCAACAGCGCGACAGACACTCGACAGGTGCCACGTGCGAGGACCTGGCTTTCGCACTTCAGCACCGCCTGCGCTACGAGGTGCCGGCACGGCAGCGCGCCACCGCAGAGGTCAGTGCTGCTTCACCAGCCACGCTTCCTTACAGACTAGCCGGCATGCATTGCTGTCGCCTGGCACGTAGTCCACGCTGTGCTGCCGACGTTCGGACAGGCACAGGTATGAACGGCTGAGGTAGGCGCCTGCGATGCTGCACTGCTGTTAGCCGCGTCCAGACAGCACGCGCCGCGTCGGTGTCGCTCGGCAGTAACCAGACCAAAAGGCGGACCAGGCAACAGCCGTTATTGGTAAGCGCTAGCAGCTAGAGACGCACTGCTGCGAACAGCTGGACGAGTTGCGTCTGCGTGCATACGAAAGGAGGCACGAGGGTATTCCCCGGCCACACAGCCGCCGCGCAAGCGACGCAACGGCCAGCCTGGCACCTACTCACAAACGAGTGCCGGAGGCTAGCGGCTGTGCTAGCACTGGGAAGGATGCAGGGCCAGGGAGCGCACCTGGCTGGCATGCAACGACCAGTGCCGCTGCGTGAGCGCTCGCTGGGCCCGATAGGTGCCAGGTCTCCACGACCGGTGCCCTGCTCCTGGCTGTTAGTCAACATCGGCCGGTCGCATTGGGTAAGGAGCCTGTCCCTAGGCTGTCCCTGCTGTGGGGTGCCGCTGCGATCCACGATCCTGGTCACGGTCAGGTCATCTCATGTACGTGTTGACCAGAGACGAGCTGACAGGGCCTTCCAGGGTTCACGATATTCTGTTCGGACTGAGGCTCTGGAGCCATGTGTGAGCTGTGCGGAGCGTTGATTGCTGATGCAGCGCGGTGAATGCTCTGGCACCTCACTGCGGGTCGTCCTTTGTGGCCGAAGTGCTGCGGAGGGACACTCTCCATTGTCCAGTAGCCCCGACTCGACCAGGAGCATGCGTGCGCGCGCGCTGCCAATTTGGCTTACAGCGTGCACGCGACATGTCACTGGTGTAGGAGGGAAAGTACCGCCGCATTGCTATCTCTCATGTTACCATTGCCGCAATGTCTTTTACTTTTCACCCCGAACACCCGCAATTCCAGTTCTTCGTCGTCGTCCTCCTCCTCCCCCTCCTCCTCCTCTTCCTCCTCCTCCTCCTCCTCCTCCTCCTCCTCTATACTCCCTGCTGCTTCGCTCCCATCATGCGCCAGGTGATCCACAAGTGCACCGCCATCAGACATGCGATATCTGCCGAGAAGTACGGCGTGGACATGATCAGGCCGAGCTTTTCAGAGGGGGCGCCCGTGTTCAGTGAAGAAGGGAGGGGAAGGGAGAAGAGGAGGAGAAGGATGAGGAGGAAGAGGAGGAGGAGGAGGAGGCGGAGGAGGAGGAGGAGGCGGTGGAGCGAAAAGCGGATGGGGAAGGAGGGAGAAGGACCAGATGGAGTCGGCGATCCGCGCTCCATTCTCGGGAAAAGCTGGTTATCTGTTTGCGCCCCATGAAAAGAGCCCATCTTCTCTTGAGCAGCAGTAATGGTGCCAAGGTACGGTTTGAAAAGAATGGGGAGGGAGAGGGATGGTAAAGTAACAAAAGGAGGGGTAATGAGGATAGCATCGAAACAGGAAAAAGGGCATCGGGGAGCTGCATGCGGGGGCTGAAAATTCCAAGGATTATGGCGAGGGGCGGTTGTCGGGAATGAGCACGGAGGAGTGAGGGAGGGCGATCGGGAGGATTAGCGATGAACATGCGGATGAGAAGGGGGCGGGAAACAATGAGTAGGGGGCGCAAGAGTATTAGGCAAGTGGGCCGGCCGGGTCGAACGAATTAGCGGGCCCTGCCAATTCCCACCCTCCTCCCAGAACGTACGAATGAATCAGTGGTGGCACGAATTGATATTTGGACTGGAGCGCGTTCCCAGCTACCAAACGGAATGTGCTCGCGCGCAGTCCCGCTTCCGAGGCCTTGGCGGGGGGGAAATCGCGGTCCCCGCACGGGCGGGCACGGGACTTTGGTAACTCCGCTCCGATCTCTGTTCTGCGGCGAGAGCAATCTACTGGATCTCTTCGGGCGGCCAACTCTCCAATGGGGCGCGGCAAGCATGAACCACGCGCCGCGCTGAAAAACACACCAGCTGCGCGGCGCTGGGCATCGAGGGCAGCGCTGCGCGTCCGCTCTCGCGCATGGCCCCGCGGCCGGTGCGGCCGTGGTGCGGCGAGCGCAACAATGCACCGCGCGCGTGGGAACGCCACCTCGAGGCGAAATGTGTGCACGGAGTTCGGGCGAGGGCGACGAGTCGCCCGCCCGCGCGCGGCCCCGCTCCGGACAACTTGGTGGTTGAAACAGATGTTACCAGCCTCGAACGTATCCCTATCCCTAAGATTGACACGCCAAAAGGCGATGACAATCTTAGGGAGTCGCCTTTAAAAAATAAGGGAATCCCTAAGATTGACATCGTGATGAGGAGGTGCCCAGCATAGGGATAGGGATATGTTCCAGGCTGGTAAAGATGATGCGCAGCGCCGAGGCAGGAACGCCACTTTCAGTCGAGATCTGCGCGGTGCCGAGGCGACAACAACGTCTTCGTCCGCTCGCTCGTCGAGGAGCTGACGGGTGGAACAGTATGCGCCGTGCCCTAACGAAGAGTGAGTGCGGCGCTGTGCCGAGAACGACGGTTCGGCCTTTCGCACGGGATGTGCGCCGGGTCCCATTCCCGCCTCGCGTATTGCAACGTCGACGCCAAAACGTCCAGGTTGAGGCGATGAGCGCTGATGTGTGATGTTTTTGTGTATGTCGGTTGGAACGTCCCCGAATCGGTCTTTGTCGGCCGACGAGGTGGCAGAGTTGGAGGATCACCTGAACTCTGGCATGCGAGGAAAAACATGCCCGGGCCCCCTGGGCCCCCGGCACGCCAGGGGCACCCGGTGTAAGCCAAGTAGCGCCTCTGGCCCTTGGAGCCTCCCTGGAGCGTCCCCGGCGTGCCACCAATGACCCTCAGAACACCAATCCAACACGGTTCCCAGACAGCCCAGGAGGGTCTCGAGAGGGCGCCAAGGCGGTCCAAGGGGTTCCCGCGATGGCCCAAGGCGCCCCAAGACGCCCAACATTGCTTCCAGATAGCCCAAGAGGCCCCCAAGATGGCCCAGGAGGGCCTCAGGAGGGCCCCGAGAGGGTCCCAGCGAGGAAAGGAGCAGTGTCTGCCATGCAACTTCGAGTGATTTTCGCCTTCGCGGTTTTTCTTGCTTCCGACCGCTCAAGGCGGCCCGAGAGGCCCGAACGGTCACCCCCCAAAACGGCCCAAGAGGCCCCCAAGGCGGCCCAAGGGGGCCCCAGGACGGGCCACGTGGCGCCTCCAGAAGGGCCCAATAGATTCCAAGGAGACCCAGAGATGGGCCCAGGAAGAGGAAAGCGAAGGGGCATTGGGAGCCTTTCCCCCCAATGAGTGGCCCCAAGATCCCCAGCATGCCCCTGACAGATCCCCACGAGGCCCTCAAAATGCTCCCAGAGGTCCCCCCCCCCAATGAGGCCACCAGGAGGCCCCGAGAGGCCTCCAAAATGCTTCGAGAGGCGTCTGTGGGGCCTCCAGACTCGAAGGGACCTCTAAGGTGCTCTACCCCGGGCGGTACGGTGGCCACCGAAGGCCCCAGCGGCAGGGTCCACATGGCGGCGCCGCCGCATTTTGGCGCACCCTTGACACGGTTCGTGGCCCCAGAGGGAGCTCCACCGAAGGCCCCAGCGGCAGGGTCCACATGGCGGCGCCGCCCCATTGTGGCGCACCCTTGACACGGTTCGTGGCCCCAGAGGGAGCTCCACCGAAGGCCCCAGCGGCAGGGTCCACATGGCGGCGCCGCCCCATTTTGGCGCACCCTGCACACGGTTCGTGGCCCCAGAGGGAGCTCCACCGAAGGCCCCAGCGGCAGGGTCCACATGGCGGCGCCGCCCCATTTTGGCGCACCCTGCACACGGTTCGTGGCCCCAGAGGGAGCTCCACCGAAGGCCCCAGCGGCAGGGTCCACATGGCGGCGCCGCCCCATTTTGGCGCACCCTGCACACGGTTCGTGGCCCCAGAGGGAGCTCCACCGAAGGCCCCAGTGGCAGGCTCCACATGGCGGCGCCGCCTCATTTTGGCGCACCCTGCACACGGTTCGTGGCCCCAGAGGGAGCTCCACCGAAGGCCCTTGGCGCATCCCTCACACGGTTCGTGGCCCCGTAGGGAGCTCCACCGAGGGCCCCAGTGGCAGGGGGCCCACTGAGGCTTTCCGCCGCCGCAAGACACAACCAAGATGGCATGCCCAATGGAACCTTGGGTGACCTACAAGGGCCCCATGACCCCGCCCAAGATCTCTCCCCTAAGACGGCGCGAAAATTGCCCGAAGGCACCACCGAGACAGGCCACGAGCCCCTCTGTACGGCTCCGCAACGGCTGCAACACACCCAGGACGGACCCTCCAGGTTGCGCCCAAGAGCTTCCACGACGGCCCAGACAAGGCTGGAGGCGGAGGGGGAAGCGGAAAACTGACCCTCCATCGTCCCTCCTCCCTTGTCTTCACTCCTCCCTCCCTCCCTCCTCCTCCTGCTCCTCCTCCTGCTCCTCCTCCTTCTCCTCCTCCTCCTCGTCCTCCTCCCTCCTTTCTTCTCCTCCCTCCTCCCTCGTCTCTCATCCTTCCTCCCTGCTCCCTCCTGGTCTCCCTCCCCCGGTACCGTGAAGGCGGGTATGAACAGCAGCAGGGAGAAAAGCATGCGATCGTATTCGGCTTTGCACACCTGGCCCTAACCCGAGCACTACCCCGAATGGCGCACTCGGCAACGAAACCGTTTGTTTCGACAGCAGCGATTCCAGTTTCTCTGGTCGCGTTCCCCTCTTGTACGGTATACGCTAAGCTCCAAGACATGTATAACCTGAGCGCCTGCGACACACGCGCGATTGATTATACTGGATACTAGGGATAGGGGTGCAACCACGAGCATGCGATGGTACGATTAGCTGTATGCTTATGGATGATGAGTATGAGTATGAGTGTGCTTATGCGCAAGCAGTAGTGTTGCAGTAATTCGGAACTACGCATGCGTATGAGCATGCGAATGAGCATGCGTGTGATGATCAGGATCCGCAGTATCGACAGCGATAATATAATATGGGGAAACTAATGTTGGAGGATGGGAATTACTAGGACTCCGATCAGGTGGGTATGGTGATACATGGTACAGGCGGGAACGAACAGTATGAGTTTAATGCGATGATGATGCTGCTGATGATGATGAGGAATACTAAATACTTACTGATATTAGGAACAACACTATTTTTCATGACCAATACTGCGACTTACAATGCTAACAGTCACAGTATCAAGAAGAGGAGGAGGGAGGAGGGGGTGAGGAGGAGGGGGTCGAGGAGGGGAGAGTAGAAAAGAGGGAGGATGAATGATGAGGGAGGAGGAGTATTCGAGGAGGACTGTTGTAGGATGGGGTAGGGGCAGAGGATGTACGGTGACGAGGAGAACGGGGGAGGGATGCGGGAGAAGGGAGGAGGGAGTAGCGTAGTCGGGTGAGGGGTAGATGAGGGGGACATGATGGGGATGCGAGGATTGAGGACGGAGATGGGGGAGGGATGCAGGTTGAGGGAAGATGGAGGTGAAGGAGCAGTGATGGGGGTAGGGAGGTCCCACGAGGGAATATTGGAAGGGTCATGCTGCCAGAATGGGTTGTCGAGTGAAGTATTGAAGCTGGGCGAGTGCTTGGAGCTGATAGGTGGGCATTAAGCGTTTGTCCAGATTACCAGGGGGCATGGAAGTGGAAGTGTAGAGTCGCACCTCGCGTAGATCGACCACGTTTCTGGCGTTGAAGCGGCTATCAAAAACCGTTCCTATTCATAGAGGAAAAAGGCTGAGTTTATCCAGTTGCCTTTGGCCCATCGCGCCGGTGTGTCTGGGTTGTCGACCAGCGGCCAGGAGGCCTCATGGGGGCCTCTTGGAGTCTTGTTTGGGGCGTCTCGGGGGCCTCTTGGTGGCCTCTTGGGTCTTTTGGGGGCTTCTGGGAGTCTTTGGGGGTCTCTTGGGGGCCTGGTTGCGGTCTAGGTGGGCATCTTAGGGTGGAGGGCTCGAAATGCCAGTTCGTGTTTTCTCCCTCGGGCCCCCTTTGGGGCCTGGTGGTCCGTCTTCGGTCGATCTTGTGGGCCTCTTGGGCCTTCTTGGGCGCCCTCAGAAAATGTTACAAC